ACGCACCCAGGGAACTTCCATGTCTCCAGGCAATTCTTCCACACCGGCACTGATGCCTTCAAGCCACATTTACCATCAGCACGCCCTGTAAAGCCAAGACATCCTTGAGCATCCAGTGAGACATCTTTGGGCTGGTCTCACTGCCAGACAGCCTGGTACACCAGGCGTGGTTTCAGCTCCTGTAGCTCACCCTCACACTGACCATTACCGGCTCCCACCTGGAGCTGCTTCTCTCCCTCAAGGGTCTTCAGCGGAAGCCATAAGAGGAGTGGTTGAAGTCACTTGGTCTGTTCAGCCTGGAGGAGACTGAGGGGAGATCATTGAGGTCTACAAGTTCCTTGTGAGGGGAAGCAGAGGGGCAGGCACTGATCTCTGTGGTGACTGCTGACAGGACCCAAGGGAACGGCTGGAGCTCAGCCAGGGGAGGTTTAGGCTGGATATCAGAAAAAGGTTCTTCCCCCAGAGGGTGGTGGGGCACTGACCAGGCTCCCCAGGGAATGGTCATGGTCCCATGGATGCCAGAGCTCCAGGAGCACTTGGACAATGTTCCCAAGCACAGGGTGTGCCCCTTGGGGATGGCCTTGTGCAGGGCCAGAAGTTGAACTCAATGATCCTCATGGGTCCCTTCCAACTCAGGATATTCTGTGATCCTTTAGGCACACAGCACCAGCTGCAGCCCATCATCTGAAAGGTCTTTTCCAACCTAAATGGTTCTATTTATAATCTTTTCCATGATTCTTCAGTGTGTGAGACATGGGATGGTGCATCCCACACCCCCAGAAATCCCTGTGTTCCTGTCACTGCACTAACATCCTAACACCCACCTTACAATTCCCAGCACACAATCCCACAGGCACAATTTTGGGGGAATGAGGTCAAAATTGCTAAGGCACATTCAATTTCTTAGAACTAGAAACATTTTTCTTTCCCTTCAGAAGCTGAAGTAGGATTTCTAAAGAAAAATGAAGATCAAAGACAAAAGCAACCTCCCATTGTGTCTCAGAAGAGGAAACAAAAATGTGTAAAATTACTAAATCTGGAAACAGAAGCAAGAGAGCAGGTTTAAGGAAACAGAAGAAAACGCAGCTGTTGCTCGGGTACCGGCTGAATAAAGGATAAAAGCAAACCAGATCTCAGCATCCCTCCCTGATACATGTGATCAGCATGAAATATGTCCAGGGAAACACTGAAGTTACTCTCAGTTGTTACAGTTATAATTGAAGCTCTGGGCAAACCCTAGATATTCATGTAGAGGAAGAAATTTAATATGCAAAACTCCTGAAACAGCATCACATCTTCAAAAGTCTAATAATAGCTCTAAGGTTTTTTCAAGGCTCCTATTAAAATAAGCTGCTTTAAAAATACATACAAAACCAGCAGAAAAATACCTCCCAAGTTTTTCAGTATAAAACAGGCAAACTCACATCTGCTTTACTATTTGCTTGTTAATTACCCGAACTAAGAGCATTACCATGGTGAAACTGGCAGGAAACAAACAAAAAAAATCAACAAGAAATTGCCATGGCACAGCTGGTAGTCCAGTGGCTCATGAACTGCGACAGCTCACATGAAAAAACTGATAAAACCAACAACAAAAAAAATATGTCATCAACATGATAAAAGGAATTATCATAGCAAGGTTTGGAGGTCTGGGATTTTTTCATGCGTGTGTTTTGGCATTTTTTATGTACACTTTACACTCAGTATTAAAGAGCAAAAAGATAAATTCACAGTATTTTACAGAAACAGAGCCAGTCAGATGACTTTTGTAAGCACACAAAAAAGGAAGTAAGTTCAAACAGACTTTAAAACTTATCAAGTGATCTATTTGTCAATAAAGAGAAGTGGATTCACAACCAACTACCCCTTGTTCTTTTCTTGCTAACCGTACTAGCACCTCTCTACTAAGGCTTTGTTCCATGTAGAATGGAACACAAACAGGCAAAACCTGAGATAAATTTTGCCTCTTTTTGTCTCACCCATCTGCCCAAGAATTTACTTCTCTTCTTGACTATTTCTGCCACTGGTGGCTTAGCAGTCACCAAGGCATCTGGCATTACACATGCTGTACAACAGACACTATCATCACTTGATATCCTTGTGCTGATACTGCCACTGAGTTGCTTCAACAGTAAGGTCTACTAAAACAGAAGATTAAAATGTATTCTCCAACCATAGCCTTCAAAGGTTACCTAGATCATCATGGTAGCCATTTAACAAATTTAAAGCCATTTAAAAGAGCAGCTAAGAAGGGTAGACAGAATACACCACTCCAAGGTTATAAAATGGTTCATTGTGATAGTTGCAAATAATGTTTTCCAGAGAAACTATGACCAGCTGGCAGAAAGCACCAACCAACCAGGAAATTACCTATTTTAAAAGTCATGGTGAGTGACCATTTATTCCTAGTAGCCTGCCTGGTAAGAGCTCCAGGCCCACCAGATTACAGTGTTATTTCAGCCTTTCATTCAGCTCTGGAAAGTGTAAGTCACTTATGGATATGAGCATGAGCACCCAAATGTTTTTATCTGAAAAACAAACAATCAAGCAAAACCAAAATCCTACTAAAAAAACATAATTGAGAAAATTATGATGCATCAATTTAAAAGTTCAGGATCATTTGCTCCAGAATTTACACCTGCACAAATTTGGTTTAATGCACGAGTATAAGGCAAGGACAGTATTTTAATCAGACAGACAGAAGAAAAAAGCATTGAATTTCCTACAAAATTCCAGACTGCTGACAAATCTGAACTGCAGTGTTTCTGTTTCACCTAGAAACTCAGCAGATCCGCACTGATGACCACTCAGAAGTTTTGTGCCTTGAAACCCATGAAACTGGGATTTATTTTATTTTTAGTTGAGTACACATTTTAAGTTTAAATTAAATTAGCAGAAATGACAGATGATTTTCAAGTGAAAGAATCTGTAGAAATTCCTATTTCTGTAATTCTCCAGCAAAAACTTGCACTTTAAGGTAGGAGTAGTGAGACAATTGTGAACTTTACTAAAAACCTCAGTACACATGGTACTACAAAACAAGACCCTGCAAATATTGACCCTGGAAATGAAGCCATTATTGGATTCTTCCCATTCAGATAATACTGCTATCAACAATACAAATAATCCAATATGCCCTACGACCTGTCATGGTGAACAACTAATTTCCAAGAACTCAGCAGGCCCTGCCAATCCCCATGAGCACAGGAAGAGGAAGGAGCTGGATCCTGGCACCAACCTGGCACTGACAGATCCTCTGGGGGTGGAAATACTTGTTCTGTCACCACTTCACCTACAATTATGCATCTGGGTTTCCCATGGAGAGTCTGCACATAAAATATTTCTGTGCTTCTCCTGGTCTGCCTGTTTCATGTCCTGTGATGTTACTGCATCATCAGAACATTTATAGGATAAAATTTAGTGCAGTATCAGGACTAATTGAGCTGCCTAATCAGGCCAGACCTACTGTGCAGCATCTCGTGGTGAATCACACAGGAACATGGAAAGAGAAATAATCTCCACAAAATGAATCCTAATGCCAGCTTTCTTTGCTACTCCTTCATTATTCCAGCACGAATAAAGAACAAAGGATACAAAGATAAATTCCATTGTTTTATCCATGAATAAACCTCCAGGTGGTTGCACTTATGTTAATTTCTGATGCTGAACTGTAGCTTTTCTGTTTTTCTGAAAAGAATTAAGTATAGAAGTTGTTTCATATGTGCTCACACTGGCCTTTGTTTCCCAGTGGGAATCTCATCACAGCTTTAGCGGAAGCTTTAAAAGCTGCCAAGCAGTTTTGAAAATACCCCTGTAAGTGCTTAGCCACAACTGCTTTTGGTATAAATAAGCAAAATATTTATTTACAAAGCATAAAGTCAAAAACATGCTGTGGCAACTAAATAAATCTGGTAATCCATTCTGAATACAAAGACTGATTTCAAGCCATCAAAGCCTGTCAAAATGCACTTACCGGATTGAACATTCTTATAATATTAACCATCATTTTTCATTGTAAGCCACCTACTCATAAGCTGTAATAGATGAAATAGATGATCCTAGATAAATAAATTTTGCTATAGGGAAGAAGGGAAATTATTAAGTTTAGTTTCAAATGTCTGATGTGTTCAGTTAGGAAGATTAACACATTATTAAAATGGTTCAGTTATCAAAATGTATCTACTCAGCTTTATATAGATTTCATCTACAACATACAGAGAGAAAAATCAGCACCTAAGGTCAATACCTTATGTAAGAATATTTTGTCTTTCCTGGAGTAGACAAATAACACTGCTTATTTGACAATGTTTATATGCACATACTTCCCCTCACAAAGATACTGAAGAGTTAAACTATTCCTGCAAGAGAATTAAGATTATCTAAAGGGCATTGTTTGAAGTCAGGCAAGAAACAGGGCAAGCAGGCCATGATCCTGCAAAATAATGGGAAACTGGGAGGAGACACAGGCAGGACAGCTGACCCCAGCTGACCCGAGGGATATTCCACACCATCTGACACTGTGCTCAGTATATGAAGTGGGGGAGGAGGAGGAAGGAGGGATGCTTGGAGTGATGGTGTTTGTCTTCCCCAGTCACGTGGGAAGGAGCCCTGCTCTCCTGGAGGTGGCTGAACACCTGCCTGCCCATGGGAAGCACTGAATTAATTCCTTGTTTTGCTTTGCCTGTGTGTGCAGCTTTTGCTTAAGCACGAGTGTAAAGAGCTACCAGCATGAATCAGCCTCCCAAGGTGGCACCAAAAGCCCCTGCAGTCTTGCTGAAATTCCTCCTGCTCCCTAACATCACTGGAGGCAGTCCTACCAATGAGACATGTGGGTATGAACGTGGAAATCTGTAGAATGGACAAAATAAATAGCAGATCTAAACTCGTGTTTTCCAAACTTCTATCACTTGACCTTGGAACATTTTAAAAAGGAAATCTCATTTATCTGAAGAGTAAAACACCTGCCAGCTTCTCTGCATCTTCTTTGGAACTGCTGACCTGCAAGCATTTGAGGATCACAGATAGGATCTTTTTTTGTCAAACTGGTGAATAATATTCCCCCAAAGCTTTCATCATGCTCATTTTCCCAAGGCATTTACGGGGTAAGATAGCAGAGAGCACTATCAGATGGTTGCTATTTCAGACATGGATACCAAGAAAGGCTTAGCCCCAACGGGAAATGCAGATGCCCTGTGACACGTGTGGGATGATGGCAACGAACCAGGACCTGGCCACAGGATGCCAGCCTCCAGATGTTCATCCTGTGCCAAGGCATTCACAGAAACAAGTGCTGATGTAGATAAAATAAAGGCATTCCCTTCTAAAGCAGGATATGGATCCAGTGCTGCTATGATAAAAGCAGGGCCGTGAACCCCAAGGGTAGCACATCACTAGTTGCTACAGAAAGTACCACTTAGATGATGGATATTTATTTTAACAGCATGACTTAATGAAAAGATGTATTTTAGAGATCTTAAAATTGTATGTCATGGATCTCTCTCACAGTAATTTAATAGAAAGAGATAACTATGTATCCATCTCAACAGCTATTTATCTTTAAGCGTCACTTCTTCCTGCTTTTCTCTGCAAGTACAGGGTAAAATGTAGCAGCAGTCAAAAATCAATATCATCTCCTGAGGAAACAGCACTGCTCCACACTAGGTACTACTGAAGTCGGTTTAAAAAGTGCCCACAGTTATATTCTACAGAAAGTCCAACTGATACAAGCCTAAGCCTCCATCAAATCTCTGTGGATGTACCAGTAAATGTCCCAGCCACTTCTGTGGGGCTCTGCAGAGAGATGGGAACTTCCACAGACAGCAGTAAATTAAGATCATTTTAAGGTTCAATTTCTTGTCTGCTTTTTAATACCTTAAATTATTTTTGGGTGTATAAAACATGTCAAATTTGCAGTCATTCTTGTTTCCTGTCATTATTCTATCTCTGTTACTGGTAAACAAAATACAGTTTTGTGTATTTATGGTCCTCCATTTTTTTTTTCTTATATATACACTCTTGGATTTATAAGTTAAGAAACAACAGTACTAAAGTTAAGAAACAACAGTACTAATTAAATGCATTTACATGTGATCTGAAAAATAAAAAAAAAATCTGTAGAATAACTGAATTTTAAGCATCTAAAGCATGGTGGAATTCTTAAGAAAAAGAAATGAGAGGACTCAGGAACTCAAAATGGATTTTAACTGCTGACACTGATTATAAGAAATAGACATGCTTATCTCCACATGGCTTATGTAAACAAACAGACCTGGTTGGTAACTTGATTAAACACCAGTTCAAATGATGCTTTTTAAAAACAAAGAAGCAAAAATTCAACTTAGATCCTGAACCTGACCAAAACTGCGTCACAACTGCAAAAGGAATAATCAGAAATAATTGGTGGGTTTATTTATTAGATTTGATTTGCTGGACTTGAATTTTCAACAGTACCTTGTTATTTCTCTGTCATGAGTTGGAAAGTTAGCAGAAAAATAACTAAAGAGTAGAATTTTACCAATAGCATGGGGGAGTATATTCAGTGGCAGAAAAGCTGATAAACTTGCCTTCTGGAGTGGGGAGAAAGGAGGGTTAGGGTTAGGGTTAGGGTTAGGGTTAGGGTTAGGGTTAGGGTTAGGGTTATGCCCAGGGTTAGGGTTTTAAACCAGAAAGCCCCAAGCTCCAGGCACACTGCAGCTGTGAAAGGAGTAAATGTATAATATTTTTTTATATATATATATCCAAAAAATAAATAGAATAGTTCTTGCTCAACTTCTGTACTAAAATTAAGTCAGCTTTGGCCAGGACACTGTGTAGAAACTTTATCCTGAAGAGTGAAACAAAAATGAAATAGAAAATTGGCTCCAAAATCACTCTCATGGAAACCACTGTGCAGACTTTCTGGAGCAGCATCCAAAGGAAGGTGGTTTAACATCTCCCAAGGGACTAAGATTCCTGATTGCCCAATAGAAGCTGAGCATTAACAAAAAGGCAAACACAAGTAAAACCTTACCCTTAAAGTTGTTACATAACCAAACATTCTGTAAACTGCTTCATGGGAAGGAGATGGCATCTCATGACCTCCTGTGAAAATGGAACAGGAGCTTGCCAACTTCTGGGCCACGTGATCCTAGATTTCTCCAGGCTTTCTAATTACAATTAATAAAGGAAAATATTGGTCCAATAGCTCTTTTGGTATATTAAAAGCAACTGGCAGATATGAGCATGAAGAAGGCAGTACCTACCCCAAGGTAGTGTATAAGTTGGAAAGACATCAGTCTTTCCAGGATCCTTGATGCATTCCAGAATCACAGCTCTCTCTGGTTACCACCACTTGTGAAGGAAGGCTGAACCTCATCCAAAACCCTTTACAGTTAAATAAGAGCATAGATTGACTTCATCATGCTTTAGATTAGATCTTTATTTCATCTTTGGGGAGCTGAACTGGCTTAACCCAGCATCCAGTCCATGCAACAGGTATTAGGAGACTGGAATTTCTTACTTAGCTTTGGACACCGGGCTTCTGCTTTTATCCTTCCCTGTTCCCCACACTTGGAAAGCACTGGGGCTCTCTGAGCTGCTAAAGAGATACCCAGAAAAGGTGAGGTCAGGAGCATGAATGAAAGAAACCTGACAGGTCTCAGAGTTACATGTTGGAAACAAACTCCAAACATCTTGCTTTTCCTGATTTTCTAGTAAAATATCTGCAGTGTTTCACTTAGATATTGCTTCCCCAAACATGAGGATCCCAAAATAGCACCATCCTCAATGCTATTCTGTGTCATAATGTTATTGGCACCACATCTGGCACAGGCTTTGATGTGGAACATGAGCTTAAATACTGATCTATTTTCTACAGGCTTCCCAGTGTACAGCTGAAGGAAACAATGTGCGAGGGTCACATGCTACACACTGCACAAACCATGTTATCCTGGACTGTGGAGTGAGTCTGGGATGGAAACCCTCCACTACTCTGGATATTGCAAAAAATAAGTACATTCTAACAGATAAAAATTACAGGATATAGTGTGTTTTTATACCAGCTCGCTGCTCTGTGGTTCAGCTCACGGGGATCATTTTCTGCATCACACCAGCACATTTGGTACCTGTCCAAGCCAGCAAAGCAAAGGCCCCCTCTGGAAATAAACCACTAGAGGGAGACTGACTTCAGCAATGGAACACCCACAGGGATAAAATCGTGCACATCCATTAAGAAAATCAACAAGATTCACATCAAAATTGCTCTTTGTGTTTCTTCTTCACACGTAAAAGTGGCTGAAATTAAAGGGTCAAGTTTGGTTTCATCAAGGTAAACTGAAGGAGCATCATGTAAATGGGATCAGGCAGTCACGTGTTCTACTGTTTGTAAGAAAGGTTAGGCCAACTCTATTAAAAAAAAAAAAAAAAAAAAAAACACACACCAAAAAATAACCCAGCCACCGAAAATACTAATAGCTGTATCCTAGCAACATCACGGATTCCATGTGGACTTTGTTCTGGAGTCTACAGTCCTATTTCATCAAAATTATTGACTTTCTCAAAGTCTCTAAACGACCATCAAAAAAAACTGTTAGTGCTTAAAAAATACAAACATTTAATTAGCCACATTAATAAGAAAAAACTAAGAGCAGCATTGCGTGCTAGTGCTCCCTTTTCATGGAGCTCAATTTAGCTTCCTTTGAAATCAGTGTCAAAATTCCCACTTTATTCATTGGTAGCAGAGCCTCTCCTTCGAGGAGAGAAGCTGGAAATGGCCCTGCAGAACTTGGCAGATGAGGTTTGTCTCCAGGCTGAGCTCACACATTGCACGGATGGAATTCCTCCTCTCCGTGATCCTCCCAGTCATCATGTCCTTATTGCAAAGGTAAATCAATTGGCATGCCAGTGGCACCCTGAGGCTTTCTACAAGGCTTCTGTGCTATGCATGTAACCAGTGTCCCTTTTTCGCCCTAAGCTTTGTTTTTCTTTAACCCCAAAAACCTTTTTTAAGATCTCAAAAAATGTGGAATCCTGCTGGATCTTCCCAAAGGCCCACGCCCTGCTTCTCTCAGGTATGAAGATTTCAGGTTTAACATAGCTGTGGGAGGATTTTTTCTCATCAGTCCTGCATCACTGAAGTGAACTTTGTTAGATAAAAAACAAAGGCAAAAGGCCAAATAAATAAAAAATGAAAGAACCCAGCCCTTCCAAAGAAAAGCCCTTTGCACAAAAGGAATGCCTAAGAATAAAGCCAATCCCAAAGAAATAAGCTCTTACCCTTATCAACTTGCATGATGATCCAAGGAATCCTGGGCATTTTGGCATATAACTCAGGGTTTGGGCAGACTCAGATTTTGGTCACAATTTTCACTCAGATCCAAAGTACATCACAGCTTTTCTGACAGTTTTCATCTGTTATTCCAAGCTCTGCTTCAACAAGTTAGCAACACCTTTTACCAGAGAGAAAGCACTATTAAAAGAATATTCTTCTTTTCATCATTCTGCCTTAAAAGTTCAGTTGATAGGATAGTGTGGTGAAAAATATTTCTAACGCTTTACTTAGCCCACAAAGTTGGTTGAGACCCACCAACACTTTAAAACTGCAAAGCCTTTTAATGTGCTATTCCTACAGTTCAAAGTGAAATAACAAGAGAACGCCTTTGTTGAAGAAGTGATTTAAATACAGAAGGGTCAGTTAGTGGCATTCAGCTCGTGAGCATGAATCTGGTGATGGCTGGATTTGAATTCCAGGCATGGCACTGAACTGTCTGTGCTGCTCCAGCAGCGGTGGTGGAGAGCTTTGAGCTGACCCCACGGTGTCACAGGAACACTGCCAGATCATCACTCCACTCCAACACCCCAGCAGGGGTGTTATCTCCACAGACAACACCCATTTAACTATGAATTTAGCATTCAAGCAGTGCTCATGGACTCTCTGGTACAGTTAAATCTCACAGTTTTAGTCACACCAAAGGTTTTGCTTTGCTCATCCTTTCGTTTCCACCAGCTGTGGGGGGAAGGGGCCATAGGCAAGGAGAGGATATCCATTTGCACAGAGTGCCAAAATAAGGGAGTAGTTCTGGCTTCATCTAAGCTGTGCAGTGTAAACCAGCAGGAAAGGTAACAAATAAGGACAATGGAGCAGCAAAGAAATAATATTTCAGATTTTATCTACTCAAAAGATGGTATCAGAAGGTACTTCCAGCACCTCAAATCACTCTCTGTGATGACCAGATTAATTCCAAAACTGCTCCAACAAGAGCAACTGAATAAAAATTTGACAGTTGGATGTCAAATTCTGCTCCTAGTTATGCCTTGAAAGAGACCTGTTTGGCTACTTTATATCTAGGTAAAAAGGTAGGGAAAAAGTAAAATATACAATAAGGATAGAGATGCTTTGACTAGCCAAGCAGATTTGAAGTCTCTTCCTAGCATTTTGTAGGAGTAGCAACCTCAGCCTGTTGACCATTGTCAATGGGATTGCTTTTGATGGTAGATACTGCAGACAATGAGTGGAGAACAGCAAGGGCTGAATTCATATGTAGAAAATAAAAACTTACCTTCACACTTGCTTTCAGTTGTGCATTACCTCCATTTTTTTTTAACCCAGTGAATTTTCTGGACAGATACTCACAGTAGGTCTATTCAAAAGCAAAGAGAAGATAGCAATGGAAATAATTTGGCTCACGACCAACATAGTCACCTTTTGTTTTGAAGCTGCCCACACTGCCCATGGTGAATTTCCTGTTGGGCGCCAAAGGCCATTTCACTGTGATGAGGGTGGTGGATTCATCCTGCACAGATGAGATAGCACAGCCGCAGTGCAGGGAATGCAATGTGCTTTGTGAGGGTTGAAGTCACACACAGGGAGATGTGACAGCAGTGTGCAAAGCCTGGTGTTGCCTGCTTGTCCCACTGCCTGGTTTTACCTCACCCTGTGGAGAGGCTGCAGTGTGCACATGTACACATGGAAACAGAACACATTTATTTCAGGACTTCACAGCCCTTGCTGCTAACGAAGAACTTGGGCCCGAGAAGCACCGCAGCAGCAGAGCCAAGGGCTGGCAGTGCTCCTAAAGGCAATAAGCTGCTTATCTCTGGCCTAAGGAGTTTATAGCACCCATGTATCCCCAAAAGCTCATTAGCTCTTCAGCAAGCAGCTGAGACATTAGATGCACAAGCACAACAGCAGTGGCTTGAGTTTGCTACAGCACAGATAAAACTTCTGGCTTGGCTAGTCTGCAGCAGGCTGGTTCAATAGCCTGAAGCAATCCCACTTATGTATAAACTGGAGAAAGCCTGATCTTGTGAAATGCTCCTTAGTGTCTGGCTTTGCTGGTAGGAGTGTGTGTAGCTAAAACTCAGCCCTGCCATGAGGCTGCATCCGCCTCCCTGGTACCCACTAAGAGCCAGAACTGGCATCTGGCAGCATCCCCTGCCACGTGCCCTGCCACAGCCTCACACTGCATCTGCTTCTCACTCACCCTGCGCTCCTCCATCACTCCCTGCCTCTGGGACAGAGGGGTGGCAATGCAACCCAAGCAGCTGGCCTGCATCTCATGGAAGACAACTACAGATACAGGAAGAGAAGGACAGGAAAATGTGTGCCTGGGGAGATTTTAAAGGAATGGTTTCTCATAACTATCTTGGCATGTCCATGGGACTGGATAGCAGCTATGAGCTCCTGTAGAAAGCCATCATGTCAGGGATATTTCCTGTCTCACAGCAGCTATTCCTTGTGTCACAGGGGAGGTCTTCCACAAAGGAACTGCTTCTGAAGAACAGTGTGTCACCAACAATTCAGCAGGTTAAGTTTAGCAGAGACAGTGACAGAAGTGAACAGGAAGGAGCTATTCTTCCCCTCTGCTTTTCTTCCCTCTCCATTGAGCAAAGCCTTTAAAGACCAGGTCACTCTGCAGAAGGCTACAGAACTTTCAGCAAGTGGCATGCATGGAGGCTTTCACAGCCATGATACCTGTGTCTGGTTATTTCCAGTCAAAATAATCTCCTACTCAATTATGGAGAAGAATAGAGAAGCTCAGCCTGACTCACAATCACATGGGGGAAAAATGAGAGGAGTTGTTCAAGTTCAAAACGTTCATCTTGCTGTGGAGGAGGATTAGTACTGCTGTGGAAGGAGGCTTTCTCTCCCCCTGCAACAGCACAGCACTAAGGGATGGAAAAGACCCGAGTCCACTTCCCTGCTGTGCCAAATATACTCCTCCGTTCTTCCCTCCTCCCTCCCCAGGAGAGCAGATGAAGTATTAAACAGCCAGGAATAAGCCCTTGAAAAATGTGATTGCTAGCTGTCAGATATCCCTCTGCCACAGATGCAGCTCTGGGACTGCTCGCCTGCACATCCTCCACTGCCATCCAGGAAATCAGGATTCAACAGTGACATTAATAGTCCCATCCACTCTGGTGTCATCTGTACATTTTGCACTACTGTGCTAATAATTATGGGAACAAAACCACATCCAAAATCCTTCATTAGTGTTTTGCTGAGCTCTGCTGGCCCATGCCCTTCCCAGCCTGATGGCAGTGCCCCATCCCCAACCTGGCATCTGGATCCTCTGTTAGCAAGAGGCAGGGTGGAAGTTTTCCAGCATTGGTTTAAATCTGTCTTCATTTCACTGGCAAGTGCCATACCTGTGCCCTGGTTACAGAGGGCAAGCATGGCTCCTGTGCAAAACAGTTATTTTGGGTAGTACTGTAAATGTTGCAGATTTTAATCTCCTCACGCTGTTTTCACATTACCCAGTGCCCAAACATTACCTTAATGTGTCATCTTCTGTTCTGTCATTGCCACAGAGTATTACCATGATCCTTGTAAACACCCACAAACCTGCCTCATTAGCTCCTGACACTCCCTCCTCCCCTTCCAGGGATGACTGATAGCCACCCTTATGCCAATGCCATTCCCTAGGCTGCAACCTTGTGCTTTGCTCATTCTCCCCCTTCTCTAGGGCTCATATCAGCTCTCTCTCTCATTGCACTGATGGATTTTAAGTTTCCTTGGCAAAAGGACAGCTTGTATAGCACCCTGGTCCCTGACTCACTCTACTAGGTGCAAAGATAACACAAATAATGAGTGTCATCCAGAGGATTTCTGGGAATTACAGGAAGCTCGGAAGGAGGACCTTTAATCTTTTTCTGCCAGATCCAACTGAAGACTCTGTTATCCCTTTTTGCTCCAGCCTGACCTTTCCATCTCCTTGATTGCAAAGCCTGAAAACTTTTCCTTGCCTGAATTATCTGTGACAGCAAAATTGCTTTGGCTGACTGCTCTCACCTGTCCTGCTTCCCTGTGGCGTGTCAGCCATGGTGGAGCTCAGGGATTGTCCTTCAGGCATGTCCAGACATTTCCTACTTCTTCCTTTACATCACACCAGGGACAAGACTGATTTCAACTACACTGTTACAGGGCTACAGGACACTTCTCTTTCCAGAAACGTTATGCAGAGCTCCCAGCCACAGGAACACAAATAAAACCACTAATAATAAATAGACAAGGATTCAGGAAGCACACCAGTGACTGATAGAAAGAAGGCAATATGCCACAGTATTTGCTGCAAGAGTCCCTATTTCAGCTGTCTTTCCCGTTCAAGGCAGCGAGAGGAGAACATGAAGAGGCAGCCAATTCAAGTAAAGCACACTGAAAGGTCAGAGGAATCCATCTAGCTTGTGCAGCACCATTTTGTAAGCAGAGAATAGCTCTTCATTAAACTCGTTCTGTGAAAATGATTGAAGGGAGAAAGGAAAATAGCTTAACACTCTCATTACAATCTCTGGGAATTACCTGTTCCCCACGACTGCTTTGATGCGTCTGGCTATGCCCAAATCAATAGACACACAGCGTTTCCAGCCCCCAGCAGGGCACTGGAGGAAGGAGCTCTGTGTTTCAGTGTCCAGGGTACACCCATGCACAGAGGGGTCCCTGCTTGGCTGGGGGCTGGACACCTGGCAGCACCAAAGATGAAGGCCTTTCCCTGTGGATACAGGGACAGTCCCTGCTGCTCCTTTTGACTCTTTCAGTGGTTGACACTTCCACAGGCACTGCAGTCCCTGCAGGTGGGAAGAGCTCCTTGAGCACCCCAGCAAAGGGGTTGCAAAATACCCTATTTCTATTTTTTAGTCAAATGCTGTAAGTCTGGTACTAATGTCCAAGCTGAGACTGAGTCTGGATGAGGAACTTGTTTGAAGCTGATGGGTCTGATGCAACAAGACATGAAGCAGCCTGAATTGGTGTTGGCTTGCCTGTATGGGGTCACCCAGGTGGGGCAGGAGGGCTCTTCTCCCGGCAGGGTGTAACTAAGAGGCAGAGTTATCCTGGTGGGTCTAATGCCAGGTCAGCCCCTTTGGGAGGCGAGGAGCCTTCTCATATAAAGACTGTTAACCCCCTGCCTGCCCTTTATTTTCTTCATTCCTTCTGGCTGTCCCTTTAGTGTCACATCTCTCAGTCAGCCAAATTCTAGGCTCACACCTCCTATAGCACTATATAACAGCCTCATCAGGGAAGCAGCCCTGGGAAAATGGATGAAACACCATTCCCTGCCGGCTCTCTTCTCGCTACAGGTGGAAGAAAGATGAGCTAGCAATTTGCTGCTGGCCTGGCACGATAGCAGTGAATTACGGCAGCTCCTGAGCCAGCTCAGCTGCGCTGGCGAGCGTTCAGGGAGAGGAGAAACCCTTCCCGCAGGAGCGGAGGAGGGAAGCAGGTGTGTTATTCCCTTTTGTTCACTTGATGGCAGAGATCACAGAGCTAACACGGGCCATGAGGGATCCTCGGCTCCTCTGAAAAGCCACATGTCCCCGAGGACAATCGATCCTCGTACTCGTGTTTGGCAGAGCACACTGTCCTGGCAGCCTGCCGTGGCAGAGCCCGTTCCTGGGCACACGCGGTGTCCCCAGTCCTCCACAAAGACAGAGGTGCCAGAGGCGCCAGGGCTGCCGAGGGGACACCGCGAACCCGGCGCTCGAGTCACTGCATGAATGTGAGAAACGCCTGGAAAATCGCACAAAGCACTGAACAACCCGTGGGCAATTCTCTGTCACAGTAAAACTTCGGTGCAAATGAGAAACCTAACAACTGAAAACAGCTCAGATGCACTGGTAGGAAGCAAAAAGCAGCCTCAATTATCTACCACCTATGGTTTTTTTTTCCCCTCTCAGGATTTCTTTGGTCTCCTAACAGTGCAATAAATAATGGACATAAACCAGATCCTGGGGCAAATTAAGTCCTGTGTGATACAGATTGCCCTCGACACATCTTTGGGCCAAAGTCTGGCTTTAGCTCACCACTGTTAAAATGCCAGGAGTTCAGCAGAGCTGCTCTGGACGTCTGGTGGCACGATCAGGGTCAGAGCCTGGTCCCTGCTACATGCAGGAAGACTTTCTGAAACCAGCCAGAAAGATCTGCTCAAAAGATGCTCCACCAACCTTCGCTTTTGGGGCCGATGCAGATGATTTAATTGCTACAGTTTCTGGAATAACGCTGAATTTACTGATGGCTTTTAATAGAATGCTCAAAAAGGATTTCAGACGTGTCCTTCACAAGAGGCCATGAAGGAAACTCAGTAATAGTACGATAATTGCATTAGCATCTCCAGTGAGCCCAGGGCCGTGCGTTGGTGCGTGCCTTACAAGGCACGCAGAGAGGCCTTGCCCTACATATACAGGGATGGCAAAGTGGGAGTGAGAGGACAAGGATCTGCGTCTCACTGGCCTACATTAAACTGCCCATTATAAACGTGCACCAACAGCACAGGTGCATCAGCAGATGCTCTGTGCCAGTCAGGTCAAATATGGTTTTTCCAGCTCACAAAACCTGACCAGCCCTCTGTGGGTCCTGTGTAACTAAGCCTGGGAGTTGGTAAGCCCCTGAACAACACAGAAACATGGAGAGCATCCTTTTTGATCTTCTTAAGAGCCCTAGTCAGAACCCCAAATGACAGGTTCCACTAGGAATCCAAATGTCAGTCTCCTGACTTGCAGAGGCACCTTTTCCTTGATGTTCACACTGAAACATTTGCCCTGTAAGCTTCCTGCAAGCCTCCTTCCCCTCCATATCCCCCTGCCAAGCAAGGGACAGCACACCCAGCTGCTGCACTGCAACAGGTGCAGCTGGGCTCGCCTTGCATGTGAGCAGGAAGTTCAATGGCCATTTAGCATGGCCAGATCTAGCAGAAGCACACTGGTGACTGTGACACGGGTGTGTCACTAATGTGTGGCTATACTGAACCAATACACATGCCGTAGGTACCGGTATACGTGTATATGGGATTATACACATACACACACCTTTCTTACGCCCAGATACACTGTCTCCATCAGCTATGAACGGCATCACGCTCCCCAGAAGGGGATGCAGGGGATCCCCGCCACGGCCGCTGGAGCCGGACACATCACATCACCGCA